ATATGCAAGTTAAGTGATGCATTATTTAAAGAATATAAATATTATTTTCATATACAGTTTTAATAAAATTAGAACAATTTGTCAAATTGGTGTTAAAAATTATATAAATTAAAAATTATTTCTCAAAGTAGTGCTACGTAACTGAATTGAAGTGAGTTTATATGGTTCCAAACTATACTACATGTTTCGACCTCGTACGCATCTTGCACCATCACTTGGTTTTTCGACATTAGATCTTAACATCCTTTGAAACTATTTGATTGAAAGCGGGATTTGTAACCTCAAATTTTGGTGATCACACGCCTTGCATGTGGGTGGTTAACGATTAAAATTAGAAGTCAATATTAAAAATTGGTATGTTACATGTACAAGGTGATGCTTCACAAAAAAATTAAATCAGTAATTTTTTATAAAATAAACATGACAAAATTTCCAGTTAAACTTTTTTTTTTAAAACAAGTTAACTTGTTATTTATTTGACATAAACACACAATTAACCAACAAGATGACATCGGTTATCCAATCCCTTTGTCCAAAATCCGACCTCAAGCCAAGGGCGTAACAAATTTCCCTCCATTCAATCCAATCGTTACAATGTATGTAACCATTCAATCATGTATAAATAAAACAACCATAACATAAAAAAATAATAATAATAATAATAAAAATAAAAAACTTAAACCAAATGTAAAAATAGTTTATTTTTTCCCCTAATTTTATTAGTAAGGATTACAGAGTACATTAAGTTTGAGAAGGGGTACACTTAGGTAAGCCACAATTGGTCAACATATCATAAAAAAGTTTCTTATCAATTTCACCAGGAAAAAAGGAGAAGAAGGAATTTTGCAAAAGCAGTTAGCATCACCCTTTTTAAGATCGTTGCAACATTGTGCGCTTGTTGGTCTAGGACTGAGCAATGATGGCCCACAATACACAAAGAATTCACCCAAGGGCACACCACATATATCCTTTGGAAAATCTATCATTAACACTTGATCCATCATTACCATGCTAATTACTGTCATTAACAACATCACTACTCCTACCTTCTTTCTCATTATCTCCATAATCCTCAAATATTATTATTTCACTACTCAATGTTTTTTTTTTCTTCTTAATTACTTTTAGTTTTGTGTTTGATGAAGAATAATGTATTTCCTTAGCTACTATCTATGCAGCATTTTATACTACCTCAAATGGTAATATTAGATATTTCTTTTCCTCATTAAATTTGTGATCTCATTTTATTTTACTTGCCTTTTATGTGTTTGGATAAATTTAAGACAAAATCAAGGTGTAATAAATACAAATAAATTGAGCCTTTGACTATGACGGAAGCGTGTTGACACCAAGCCTCAAATTATTAAAATTGTTTATCACTTATATTAGTTATATACGAGTAAACACACCCCCTCCCCTATTTTTTTTTTTTTTTAATGAAAAGTTTCTCTTGTATAGTTATATCAATGTTAAATTTTGATGAATAATATCTTAATTATCAATAATTAATATTATAACAATTGATTGTTAATAATCTATTCATTGAAACCATTCTAATAAGTATTTAAGATAATCAAATTGTATAATCAAATTCTACCCAAACAAGCATACTATCATACGGCTACGGGGAGAAACCCGATTTTAAAAACTTTGAAATCTCTATCCAAACCCTTATTGTATGAAATTATACATTGTTACTAAGATGAGTGATGAAAGGGATACTGTAAGGAAATGATATGATAGAATATTATTGATATGATGGTAGGCAAATATATATTTGTTTTATATGTGTATCCTAGTGTGATAAGAGATTTTCCATATTAATCAAGCATGGTATCAGAGCCCTTTCTTCTATCATAAAATTCAATAACACCTTAAAATATGTTGGGCGACGACACACCATAACCACTTCTTGATGAAACATATTTAAAAAAAATACACCAACTCGTGACAAGAACCAATAACGTAATCCAATCTAGTAGCAGAATTATTTAATAATTTATATTATCATCTATTATATAAATGTTATTACGTATATATTGTTTGATTAGTCGATTAAATGTCTATTTTTAGTAATTAATATTTGCTAATATTAAATGTATTGATACCAAAGTTATGTATTGGCAAATGTGCAAGTTAAGTGATGCATTTAAAGAATATAGAGACTATTTTTATATACAATTTTAATAAAATTAGAACGATTTGTCAAATTGGTGTTAAAAATTATATAAATCATCAAAATAGTGTAAATTAAAAAATATATCTCAAAGTAGTGCTATGTAACTGAATCGAAGTGAGTTTATATGGTTCCAAATTGTACTACATGTTTCGACCTCGTACGCATCTTGCACCATCACTTGGTTTTTCGACATTAAATCTTAACATCATTGAAACTATTTGATTTGAAAGCGGGATTTGTAACCACAAATTTTGGTGATCACACACCTTGCATGTGGGTGGTTAACGATTAAAATTTCCGATTAAACTTTTTTTTTTAAAAAAAAAAAGGTAAACTTGTTATTTATTTGACATAAACACACAATTAACCAACATTTACCTACATTCAATCCAATCGTTACGATGTATGTAATTATTCAATCATGTATAAATAAAACAACCATAACATAAAAAAAAATTTAAAAAAAATTAAAAAACAAAAAAACAAAACAAAAAATAACAAAAAATAACTTAAATCAAATGTAAATATAGTTTATTTTTTCCCCTATTTTATAAGTAAGGATTACAGAATACATTAATCTTGAGTAGGAGTACACTTAGGTAAGCCACAATTGGTCAACATATTATAAAAAAGTTTCTTATCAATTTCACCAGGAAAAAAAGGAGAAGAAGGAATTTTACAAAAGCAGTTAGCATCACCCTTTTTAAGATCGTTGCAACATTTTGCGCTTGTTGGTCTGGGACCAAGCAATGATGGCCCACATAGTAGAAAGAATTCATCTATGGGTACCCCACATATATCCTTTGGAATATCTATCATTAACACTTGATCCGTCATTACCATGCTAATTACTGTCATTAACAACATCGCTACTCCTACCTTCTTTCTCATTATCTCCATAATCCTCAAATATTATTATTTCACTACTCAATGTTTCTTTTTTTCTCTTAATTACTTTTAGTTCTGTGTTTGATGAGGAATAATGTATTTCCTTAGCTATAATCTATGCAGCATTTTATACTGCCTAAAATGGTAATATTAGATATTTCTTTTCCTCATTAAATTTGTGATCTCATTTTATTTTACTTGCCTTTTTTGTGTTTGGATAAATTAAAGATAAAATCAAGGAGTAATAAATACAAATAAATTGAGCCTTGGACTATGACGGAAGCATGTTGCCATCAAACCTCAAATTATTAAAATTGTTTATCACTTATATATGAGTAACCCCCTTTCAATATATATATATATATATATATATATATATATATATATATATATATATATATATGAGTAACCCCCCTCTCCTTATTTTTTTTTTTAAAATGAAACGTTTCTCTTGTATAGTTATATCAATAATGTTAAATTTTGATGAATAATATTTTTAACTATCAATAATTAAAACTATAATAATTGATTGTTGATAATCTATTCATTGAAACCATTCTATTAAGTATCTACAACACTTAAATTTTTTTTCTTACGTATAGATAATCAAATTGTATAAAGGAAGTAGTACAAAGAGTCAAAACGTTTCATTTTACAAAAATTCAAAGGGAGTTGTTTTGAAGAATTTGGAATTCACTGATATTTAAAAGATCGAAAAGGGTAGGGTCAAGGTGCGTGCTTCAATTCACATAAATAGTGCACCACAAGACCGTACCGCAAAAGGTCACTTATTGGTTGGTTAAATTAGAAGTTTAGAACTATCAACTTTACCTTTTACTATCATAAAATCGATTACATATAAGTCTGATGTCGGTACTTTAATAATTAAGGTCACTATGTATCTTTATGTGATCGAATAAACCCTAATATGCTTCCCAACCATCATTTATTAAATTTGAAATACCAAGTTGTCACTTTTTTTTTTTCCGACTTTCATACATGAATTATAGGTAAATTAATTAATTGATTTGTGTTACAAGAGGTCAATAATTTGTGTGTGTGTCTATATATATATATATATATATATATATATATATATATATATATATATATATATATATATATATATATATATATTGAATAGTTTCTTATTGTCAAAATTGATTGATATGATCAAGTAATTCAACTACATTTACCACCGAGAACAGCCCAAAGTTTGGTAAAAATTACTATATGCTTATAGTAGTATCGGATGAATATGTCCAATATGCTGCCAAATCTTGGTGTTTTCTACATTTACGTACTATAATCTACTGATAGCATATAACTTCACCTTATTAAATCGAAGTACTGTATAACATAGTGCAACTTATTGATTATGCTGTTTTATTTTAGGTAAATATCACGGAATTATGTCTAGTAAATTCACGTCCTTCAAAGCCTCTTGTTTAATCATGAGATGATTGAGAACAATATCACCGTACTCTTGTCATTTTATATATGTAGTATTTAAATTATAATATAGCACAAAAAATATTGATTTGGGCTAGGTCGTTTTATAATTTGTTCTTAAATAATTGTTATTCTATTATTTTCTTTCAAAAATAAGCTTGGATTAAATTATGATTTGGGGTTAAATAACCTGTTCCAATTAAAAATAATTGCGCTCTATGTTCTAATAATAATAATTCCGAGTTTCTTGCTTCCTTATTTGGCCATTCCTAGGTAAAATTCCGAGTGATACTAGATTCCATTGCATAATGTAAATACTATGTACGTATTCCCTCCACTCGATCTAATTATTTGCAACTGCATGTGATTATTCAATCATACATAAAATTAATCGAACAAAACAAACCAACATAAAACTTAAATCAAATGCAAAATCATCTTTTGTTTTCGATTATTATTAATACATAAACTATGGATTACATTAAATTGGAGGAGGGGTACAATCAGGTAAGCCACAATTGGCCAACGTAGCCAAATAATATTCTTTAACAATACCAAGATCAGGCAAAATAGGGGAAGAAGCAAATTTGCAAAGGCAATCAGCATCACCATCTTCAAGAACCTTGCAACAATCAGCACTTGGCTTTTCGGGATGAAGTAAAGCTGGCCCACAATTTAAGATGAAATACTTAAAATAAAATCCACATAAATCCGGTGGCATTTCTACCGTCAACACTTGATCCATCATTACCATACTAATTACTGTCATTAACAACATTGTTACTACTACCTTCTTATTTCTCACTATCTCCATAATCCTTAAAAATTATAATTTCACTACTTAATTTTTTTAAAAAATTTCTTTTTAATTAACTTTAGTTTGTGTTTTGGCTTTGTGTTTGATGAGGAATAATGCATTTCCTTAGCTACTACCCATGCAACATTTTATAATGCCTCAAGCCTCAATTTGGTAATAATAGATTTTTCTTTTCCTCATTAAATTTGTGATCTCGTTTTATTTTACATCCCTTTTTTGCATTTGGATAAATTTAAGACAGAATCAAGGTATTTGACTATGACGGAAGCGTGTTGAAATCAGCCTCATATTATATCAAAATCGTTAATCATATCATTTATACATTTGTAACTTTTACTCTCTGTAATTTTTTTTAAATGAAACGTTTTTCTTGTATACAGGTGTAGTCAATGTAATTTTAATCAATAATATAGTTAATTATTAGTAAGTAAAGGCAATAATAATTAAACAGTTTTAATCTATTCATTGAGATGATTCCAGTTAAGATATACAACGAACTATAATTTTTTCTTATGAATAAATCTCTATCATTAGTCAAAAGTGTATTAGGTGATTAGTGCGAAAAGTCAAACATTTTACTTTAAAATTACAGAGGGATTAGCTTTGAATAATTTTAAATTTACCGATCCTTGAAAACAACGGATCAGGGTGGAATCCTTTGCAAACGACTTAAATACGCGACAGGGTATTTTAAGTGGCAAAGTGGTCTTACTGCCACGATCCACTGGGATTCAACTCCATATCGCTTTGATTCGTCCATCCCCCACTCCCACTCTATTCCCTTAAAACACCTATATTTAGAAAACGAGGTTATCTGTGCATCTTATATGCTAAAAACTGCTAAGTACGGGATTAAGACAAGTCACAAAGCCTAAGTGTTGGGGTGTCGGATGGTGCAAGGGGGTGCTTGGAATCTGCACAAGACATGTGCACAGTGCACCGTGCACCCAAGGACAAGGCATACTTAGAGTTATTTTTGTCATTTGAGGGTATGTTGACTTTACCTTCATACATGATGATTAAGGATGAATGAGATGGTTCTGAACACTATGTATGACTCCCAAGGCCCTTTGGGAACCCATGAAAGTGCTTGGATGGATGCATAATCTCGCAGGGTGAAAATTTGATATAAGGAAGCCAAATACAAAGACTATAATACACGAAATCAGAGCAATCTAGAAAGTGTCGGGACTCATGTCAAAAATTCATAGAACACTATGGGATGCATTCTGGGGGCATATAATATTGTTTTGACCCATATATGACCATTATTTGGCTACGTAAAGACCCCGTGAAAGCTTCTAGCCAATACAAGAGGCGTTTATGAAAACGGGTAAATTAGATGCTTAAAGGCAAATTGGATGGTTCCACCCACCCAATTGGACTCCCGGATGTTATTAGGAACCATGGTAAACATCTCGGCAATTTTTATTTCTTGTCCAAAAAAAGTCAAAATTTTCCAAAATTGAAGGCTATTATCCACGGTTTTTGAATAATTTTTGAGGTTTCGAGACCCCGTGTCGAAAAGTCTTGAGATAATAGGGGATACATCTTAGTATCATATAATGCCATTTGGAACCATATATGATCATTATATGTTGTCATAAATGTCCGTTGTAAGCTTGAGTTTATGAAATCGGTGCAAGTTGTAAACGGGTAAATTGATCGTTGAAATTCATATTGGATGGATTTACCCACCCAAATGGACTCTCAGGGTGTATTAGGGTCCATGGTAAGTATCTCGGAAATTCTTATTTTTGGGTCAAAAAAAGTGAAAAATTGTCCAAAATTGAAGATTATAATACACGATTTCATGTCAATTTTTGATATTTTTTCAAATAATGAACTGAATGCGTGCGGTGACTCCTGGGGTCATCTAAGGAGGTTTGAAACCATAATACACCGATAAAGATGTCGATCTATAAAGTACCAAGAATGAGTTTTGAATCTATTTTGAAATTCATGAAATTTTAAAATATAATGACATCATGATGTGACTTGAATATAATGATGCCATATAAATATAATGATGTCATAAATTAAAAGTATATTGAAGTAATATGACTTGACTATAATGATGTTATATGTATCTAATGATATCATGTTATGTAAATGTTTATAATAATGTGATTTCATAATATGATAAGACTTTAGTAATGTCATGAAAGTATAATTATGTTATATAAATGATGTTATATAACTATAATAGTGATGTGATTTGAAATACTACTAGAAAAGAACACATGATATGATGAACGATGTGGTGATTATGTATAATAATATTACTATTTACATGTGTGTTGATTGATATATTTGCCACGATCCACTGAAATTCAGCCCTATATCGCTTTGATTTGTCCATCCCCTCACCCTCATCCATTCTTTTAAAACACCTATATTTTGGAAAATGATGTTAACGGTGCATCTTATATGCTAAAAACCGCTAAGTACGTGATTAAGACAAGTCACAAATCCTAAGTGTTGGGGTGTTGGATGGTGCAAGGGTGTGTATGGAATGTGCACAAGACATGTGCATAGTGCTCCCAAGGACAAGGCATACTCGGAGTTATTTTTGTCACTTGAGGGTATGTTGACTTTACCTTCAGACATGATGATTAAGGATGAATGAGATGGTTCTGGACACTATGTAAGACTCCCAAGGCCTTTTGGGAACCCATGAAAGTACTTATTTGTAGTACTGTCAAAGCGGTTTGACAGTTCGAGTTCGGTTCGGCATTAAATTGGGTCAGTTTGAAATCGGTTTAAGTGTATCGCGGGTCGGTTTTAGTTTGGTTTAAATAATTATCGATTCAATTCAGTTTCGGTTTATTCTTGAGCGGTTTTAATTCGGTTCAGGCTGTAAACAGTCCGGGTAGTAAACGCTTCGGTGCAGACGGGTCGCGGTTTGTTAACGGTTCAGTGTAAACAATTTTTATCCCGGTTCAAACAGTTTTGGGTTGGAAACGGTTTCGGGTTAGAAATAGTTCGGTTCTTTTTCGGTTCAGTTTATAACTAGTTCGGTTCTTTTTGGTTAATTTCAGTTTATAACTGGTTTGGTTCTTTTTCGTTTCAGTTTATAACTAGTTCGGTTCTTCTACGGTTTAACATTATTCGGATCGGTTCCATTTCGATTTACTAAATTACGGTTCGAATCGGTTTTCGGTTTAAAAAAATTTATTGTTTATCGAGTCGTTTGGATTCGGGCAGTTAAATGGTCTTGGTTTGAAACTTAATAGTACTTGCTAACCTTTTAAATAGAACCTTTTGTTGGTTAACAATTTTTATATTAAGTCGAGACTTCATCATTTCTTAAATAGGCATCATATTATATACAAATTCTGATTGATTTTATAAATACATATCATGTTCTGTTTCATGTTTAGCCATACCGATCATACTAGTTTGTAGCTGATTTGTTTATAAGCGGTCTGGTTCATAAAATAATTCGGTTTGCAAGCGGTTCGGTTAATAAACGGTTTGGTTTATACACAGTTTGGTGTAAACGGGTTGTGGGTTTTTAATGGTTCGGTGTAAACGGTTTTATCTCGGTTCAAACGGTATCAGGTTGAAAGCGGTTTCGGGTTAGAAATAGTTTGGTTCTTTTTCGGTTCGGTTTGATTTCAGTTCCGTTTAGAACTGGTTCGGTTCATTAACGGGTTAGATTCTTATTATACGGTGTAACGTTATTCGGATAGGTTCGGTTTCGGGTTCATTCACATACGGTTCGGGTCAGTTTTCGATTTCAAAAAAAACGGTTTTTAATCGGTTCGGTTCTCATTAGGGTCGGTTTATTTCGGCCAGTTAAACGATTTCGGTTTGAAATTTGACAGCACTACTTGGATGGATGCATAATCTCGCAGGGTGAAAAATTGATATAAGGAAGCCAAATACGAAGACTATAATACACGAAATCAGAGCAATCTAGAAATTATCGGGACTCGTTATTGGAATTCGCAGAACACTATGGGATGCATTCCGGGGGCATATAATATTGTTTTGACCCATATATGACCATTATTCGGCTACATAAAGGTCCCGCGAAAGGTTTTAGCCAATACAAGAAGTGTGTACGAAAACGGGTAAATTGGATGGTTCCACCCACCCAATTGGACTCCCGGATGTTATTAGGGACTATGGTAAACATCTCGACAGTTTTTATTTTCTGGGCCAAAAAAAGTCAAAAGTTTCCAAAATTGAAGGTTATTATCCACGGTTTTTGAACAATTTTTAAGGTTTCTAGACCAGGTGTCGAAAAGTCTCCAGATAATAGGGGATATATCTTAGTGTCATATAATAATGCCGTTTGGAACCATATATGATCATTATATGTTGTCATAAATGTCCGTGCAGTGGTAGACTTGAGTTTATGAAATCGGTGCAAGTTGTAAACGGGCAAATTGATCGTTGAAAGTCATATTGGATGGATTTACCCACCCAAATGGAATTTCGGGGTGTATTAGGGTCCATAGTAAGTATCTCGGCAATTTTTATTTTCGGGTCAAAAAAAGTGAAAATTTGTCAGAAATTGAAGGCTATAATACACGATTTCTAGTCAATTATTTTTGATATTTTTTCAAATAATGAACTGAATGTGTGGGGTGACTCCTGGGGTCATATAAGGAGGTTTGAAACCATAATACACGGATAAAGATGTCCATGAGTACCAAGAATGAGTTTTGAATCTATTGTGAAATTCATGGAATTTTAAAATATAATGATGTCATATAAATATAATGATGTCATAAATTAAAAGTATATTGAAGTAATATGACTTGAGTATAATGATGTTATTATATGTATCTAATGATATCATATTATGCAGGTTAATACCCGGCCCATGGCTGATATTTTGACACTTTTATGATAATATGATAGCAAATATTTTTTTGGAAAAATAAAACTTTCAAAATGTAGGTTAATACCCATTATTTGGATTCCACAAAAAAAAAAAAAAAAAAAAAAAAAAAGGTATTGTTATCACATTTTCACAAGTTTTG